AACTGGCTCATCGGCCAGCACATCATCAGTAGTCTGAGGTCCATCCTCTTCGTCAATCACATACCCATTTGTCAGATCTTGTCTTCGCCTTCTACGTATCTCATCAGCCATTTCGCTTTCGATTTGCACAAAAAATGGTCTACTCCACTTATTCCTTACTCTGTCTCCAATAACCATTAGTATAGTTCGGCCTGCATTGGTGGCCGAATTAAATATCGAGTGGAACGTCGAATACAGCTTAACGTTCGGTGATTTACAAGCACAAATCCGGCCGGGACATTACAATTACAACTACAATTGTCAAACTCCAATTGAATGATGCATGACGTCGGCTTAACACTACAATTAACTATCCACAGGCACACTATGCGAACTAATGCAAAATAGTTGGTCGCAGGCCAAATTGCGATTACTGTAACTCGTATTAGCTATAAATTCTTAAACGTGCGAGTATTTTCTCGACCACATCAAGAATTTACATAGAAATTTGCATATTGATCTGGGTATTGAAATATCTTCAATAAGCTGATTTGTCAAATTCAATGCCATATGGGTTCGAATGCCTGAGAGCGCTTAATTGCAATTGAAAGCAACTGATTTATGTATCTATTTAATTAGCAATTAGAACTCATTACGAGTTTATGTGCCTCTTCGTTATCACCAATGTCAAATTTTTTATCATTTGGTTATATTCTTTCCAAGTGGCTAACGATAATAGTGTTGGGGATCATCTGTCTTCATGAAATTCTAACTTCAATGATTGGGTTGGCGAGTACTAAGGTGTCCAGCTACTCTTCCATATTGCTCCTGTTTTCTGGGGAGGGGAATCGAAGTGAGTTTGAAAATACACTCTGATTGATCAGCTGATAATGCATCCAATGCTCCAAACACCGAAAGTAAAAGGGGAGTAATCTCGCTTTAAAACAAATCCTATATATCATTTTTGGAGCATGCATAAATCGCTCACGTTGCTATTATCTGCCAGTTTCCTTTGATTCCAGATAGACTGATTCGAATGAGTACGAACAGATGATGTCTCACACCAATTCGCCAAACTCAGAACTATCAGCTGCTTACTAGAACTCATAAACTCACTAGCTTATCGACGGTAATGCGCAATGAAGGTAGATTGGGATACTGTAATATCATTGGTGAACAATTAGGCAAACCTCATTGTCAGCTTGGGCTGAGCTCAAGCCCAAGCATGACTCCCAATCTAAGTTGGTTGTGAGCATGAACCTAAGGCAAAGTCTGACCCTGACTTTGTCAAGAGGGACTAAATCACCCTCAGATGACTTCTTAACAGGTTTCTATGCGCTCTATTGCCTCATTTTTTGGTACAAGACTAAATAATCATGTTATGAGTCGTCACTGATGAATCTTTTTAAATGATCTACTCATAAATTCTAAGCTATTAATAAGACATGAATGAATTGAAGTTATCTCACGAAACAACATTAGACTGAAATTATTATCGAATCATTTCATAGACAACAACAGCAGCAGCAATATGTACTCATAATTGCGCGAAATTAAATGTGACAAGTTTAAACCGGAGCGAAGTTATTGAAACAAAAGCAGCAGTAGCAATTTTGTGAGGATGTCGAAAAGGAATGTGTGATTATGTCATCTGAAGTTGAGATGTAATGGCGTCATTGTTTCATTTGTTGCTAAGGAATCCCATGCCATTATCAGTACACTGATAGGCGAGTGAACAGTCAAAGTCATTCACA